TGTAACTGCCCAAATTATGATTATTCTCTAAAATTCCTAGCTGAGTTAAAGTATTCACTGAAAAATCTGTATTATTGGGCACATACTATGTGCACAAATTTCCCACAAAATGAAGCCTCAATCAATCCATCATAATGCTAAGAACAATGGGTTTAATACTCTGGGGTCTGGGGTGAGTGGCAGCTGAGTGCCAGCCCCACGACTCCCACCCCAAGCACTGCCAGCACGGATGCTTTCACCCGTGGCCATGTCCTGTTCTATTTCTTGACTGTAGCTTTTGTTTCTGTCAAACAAAATAATAATGTGGATGGGAAGAATTCAATTAGTTTTATGCCTCTGCGACCTACAATCTTTAGCACAATGCTAATTATGTTTGTTAAGTAAGTCCTTTTATTCTTTACATTCTCTTAACAACTTACTACAATATTTTAAGGGAAAAACCCAAACACGTTCACCACTTCAATATCTGACTATGTGGGTTACGCGTGAAGACACTAAACCCTTACCTAATGGCATCGCTCACCTTTTCCAGCCACTGATACTGCTGATCTTCAGCAACGTAGCAACTGCACTGGCAAAGGAAAACCTGAAAAACCAAATCCCAAGTTTTGGAGTCAAATAAATTTTATGAGCACCCCCGACTGTCACCAGATACATATCGTGAATATCCTAACGCAATGCTTAGGTAACACTGATTTTTCTCAATTTGCTAACGGCTTACTTTGCTTTACAATTTTAAATTTAAGAGTCAATCTGTTACTGGTGATTAATATCGGAATAAAATGCACACTGACTGGGCGGCAGCATATGAAGTACTGCAGATGCTCCCAGGGAAGACCCCCAGAACCCTTAAACACAGGGAGGTTACCAGCCCTGCTGCCCCTGCGGGACCCCTGTGAAGGCCAGACTCAAGTCAGCCCTCGGTGGCATGTAAGCCCAACTCAAGAGTAGGTCCAGCAGAGCAAACACCTGCAGCCCGACAGGATCTCAGCCCACTGATATCCTGAAGCGCGGCTGATGCCTGTGAGGACGGTGTTAGTTTAGAAACCCAGCTGCAGACCATAAGCTCCAGTGAGATAACCTGCCACAAGGCCATGAAAGGATGAGATTCCTGGTTATAAAACCTCACAGAACAATACTATCCACAGAAATCAACCATATCGTCTCTTAAAATATCGCCAGATATGCTAACTGCACAAAGCAAGTACAAGAGGGAATAGGGACCCCAAGATAGGGCAGAACAAAATGACTGGATATATATTTAGCTGCCTGTACACGTAAGTTCTAAATAATCAAGAGATATCTAACCAATAAATGGTAAAACTAGACGCAGTAACAGAAATTTCTCCTACTTGACCGTCACTGTCTATTCTAAAGTGAAACTTTTCCACTAAGGATCAGATAAAGTTTCCTGATGCTTAGCTTCCTGAGTAATCCTACGTAATACAAGCCTAATATGCTGTGTCCAAACGTACGTTCGACCTGTCACTATGACACACCCTGACCACCAGGGGGCAGACGCTCCGACCAGTAGGTTAGCTTGCTGCTAGGATCTGGCCTATCAGGACTGGGCAAGACAGGCCGGACATGCCCTGGAGCCCTCCCACAGTCCCTCCCTGGCCCCAGTTGTGCACTGGTAGGATCCCTCAGCCTGGCCTGCGCCCTCTGGCAATCCAGGACCCCTTGGGGGATGTCGGAGAGCCAGTTTCAGCCTGATCCCCACAGGCCAGGCAGAGGGACCCCACCGGTGCAGAAATCTGTGCACCAGGCCTCTCGTTTCCTATAAACACTGAATATTTTATAAAAATCCTTACGAAATTTCAGTAACTTTGGAGTGCATGCTATAGAAACAAACTGTATTATGAAATTTAATTCTACAGTTTTGGGGGGGGCTAACACTTGGTCCTTAACATTTGAAATAAGCAACATTATAATATTATGGAATTACTGACTTCTTCCAATGTCTGAATCCCTGCCCCTGCCTTTATTCAAGTGTGTGTGTTTGGGCGGGGGGAGGCGGGGGGGGGGGGACTCTGCCAGACAAGCAGATGGGCAGACATCACCTGTGTGGCCACCTCACCTCCCTGACTTGTCTCCCAAACTGCCCAGCACACTGAGTTCTCTAAATGAATGTAAGAGTAGAATTAGGACAAATACAATCCAAAGAAATCACTCAACATCAGCTACAGAATGTCTTTTCTGACTTAAAAATCAGGACAAATTAGGTTAGGATGAAAGCCTGGTGTCCCCAAAACTGTCTTTAGGATGCATAAAGCACTCATCTGGTCAGCACGCAACAGCTGAGTTTCCAGCATGTACCAGGCACTGGCTAAACACTGGCCTACACAGCAACAAAGCAGAACTCCCGACTTTGACAGATGGACATTTTTGCACGTCTGGAGTCGCCAACTGAAGTAATCTTTTCATTGAGAGCAAAACTTAAATACCTAATGTTCATGGTTTGTTTCTAACAAAGTTATATCCGAATTTCCTAAGAACTTTACCAACAGTGTGTAAACAACAAAGTGGTCACTACCCTACCTCAGCCCAAAGTAGACACAGAGGAACATGAATTCAAATGAACACTACATAAGTGATGCCTACACAACTACTACTTTCTTGCTGTTGTCAGTCCTCACCCGAGGATATATTTCCATTGATTTTTTTTTTTTTAGAGAGAGAGTGGAAGGGAGGGAGAGAGACAGAGAGAGACGTGGATAGGCTGCCTCCCACACGGGCCCTACAATCAGGTACATGCCCTCGAGTGGAATGGAAACCTTCAGTCCGCAGTCCGACGCTCTCGGGCTACACAACAACTTCTTAAACACACAAGGTTAGTCCCACATACCGAGGGGTTTGACTTGAGATGATAAAACACGCAAAAAGCCTCTGCGGGGGATAAATGTGCAGTGTCCGTTGTTCTGCACCATTCATTCCAGAGTTTAGCACAACCAACTTCTTCCCAGACTCCTGAATTCATAACAAAGGACGACAAAAATGCTGTAAAAACAATTCACAGGAGTTAGTACTGGCTCTGCAGGTTGCATTTTCTAGTCAATAAACAATAAATTCATTCAAGTTACTCTAGAATTTTAGAGCTAAAGGGGCCATTCTAGGCCATCACCTTTACACTAGCATTTAGCAGAAAAGGAAACTGAGGTGGTAAGAAGTAAAAGGCCACGCCCTGAGTACAGATGGGATCAGAGCCAGGAGCTGAAAGGGTTACTGACCCACTTCACTATGCTCTCACAGGTAATACTTACCTGGAAAGTTGTAGCCAGTAGAACTGTAACATAAATGAGTCGGTAGTTATTTACCTTGTACTTGCTCTGCGAACACTAGGGCTAACTTATAGGACAAAGATCTGGACTGGAATCCCAAATGCTCTCCTTGAGCTGAAGAAGCCCCTAAAATTATACAGGTTTGCACATGCACGTGCATACTGTCCTAGCTGAACCCTGCACTGTTCTAACTTTAACTTCTCAAATGGATTCATTTATGTAAAGACCTTAGAACTTAAGTACTCAAAATGTTAGTGATTACTGTTATTTCTAGAGTTCTCATTATGTTCTTAAAGAAGCCTGTTAACTGAAAAGCATTTAAGAACCACTGCTACAAGGGGGTCATACACACATGCGCCCTCTGCCCCTCCAGGTCTGGTCAAAACAGGCCCTGGAACTTATGGAATCCTAGAGACCTGAACACACTGGAACCAATTCCTTGAGTTTTTAAGTCCCTAAAGCCAAGAACATTTCCTTTTAATCATATTTTTTAAGCTGATCAAAAAGACAGTGCCACATGAATGACAGGTTTTACTTGAATACAGTTATTCTCTTGTGAGTTTTTCTTAAAAAATAACAAACATTTGAAATCTTTTCTGATAAAAATAAATCAGTAAGTTGAGCTTTTATTCTTTCAACAAAATATCTAGTCTAATGCACTTCCACTCACCTACAGCATTGTTTCCAACAGCAATTATAAACTTGGAGCAAGGATATTTTTCCAGCAGAGAAACTTCCAAAGATGTTTTTGTTTGTCTTCGAAAGAGCCGCACCTCCCTAACACAAGAAACAAAAGACGAAACTAAAGCAGCTTACATATAAGGAGTGCCTTATTATGATTAAAAAACACTAGCCCTTGGCTCGATGGATAGAGCGCCGACCTGCGGACTGAAGGGTCCCAGGTCAGGGCACACGCCCGGGTTGCGGGCTCAATCCCCAGTGGGGGGCGTGCAGGAGGCAGCTGATCAGTGATTCTCTCTCATCACTGATGTTTCTAACTCTCTCCCTCTTCCTTCCTCTCTAAAATCAATAAAAATATATTTTAAAAAAACAACACTTACTAAAAGTATGACTTTTGTATGAAGCAACATACCTATTCGGTTTTATAAAGAACATAATTACCACCCTCAGGAAACAATGGAATCAGGTGATGACAACAGAGAAAACCATCCCACACCAAGTTCCCGGAGAACTCGACCCCAGAGATCAGGCTGCTCCCCCCCACGTCCCACCGCCCTCGGCCCCCCTAAAAGCGGGGCACCACCCACCACCTTCCACGCTTTCTTGCCGGCAAAACCTTCAACCAGAACCCGACCCAGCCTCCAGCAGGAACTTCCACTTCCGGGAAGTGCAGGCGACAAATACGACGTGTTAAAGGGCACAACAGGAAGCATCGGACACCCCCGGGGCGTGGGACAGCCTACGGGACACCCAGGACACCCAGCCTCGCGCGGGGAGAGGGCGGGCGGCTGCTCCACCTGTCAGCAAGCTGGAGAGACAAGGCGGGAGGACCCCGATGTACGCAAACGCCCCGGAAAATGTCACGTCTGAGACAACGGATCACAAACTATTAGTGTTGTCAGGGGGGCGGGTAGCAGCATAGAAGCAAACGCCTGCGGCGTCTGGGATGCATTCCGAAACACGCCCGGTGAAAGGCGCGGTCACGGCGACTTGCTGGCGGGTGGAGGGAATGGTGGCCAAGCCTCCCTCTCGCCAACTTCCCCCACGTGTGTGTTTGGAAAGAACGCTTTTCCGAACAAGACACGCACCTGCCGCTGGCACGCAATGCTAACTGAGGCGTGGGGCGGAGAAGACAGTTGTAAGGGAGCTGTGTTGTGTCCGTGACCCAGATACAGGGCAAACTTGGGGCGCGAAGAGGCAGCCCCGCCGCCGGGAAGAGGTGACAAGTGGGCAGGAAGGAAGCCCCCGAGTCAGTGCTGCAGCGAGGCGAGCGGGCCGGCGCTTTCAAGGACACGTGAGTCCCACCGC